GATAATATATCCCACCTTACATCAGTAACTAAATCTACTGAATGTGTTTGTCTTAAAATACAAAATGCCTTTCAGAGCACCTCATTTAGTACAATAAAAAAGTTGAATAAAGTTGGTCTCACGTTGACCGTAGAATGAAAACTACAAATATAAAAAATAGTAAAATAGAGTATTCAGAGAGAGAGAGAGAGCAGTCTCAACACATCGATTGTATTTGTTCCTGATTGATGAGCGTCTTATATTTAACAAATATCGATTTTATAACCAAAACTATAGAAAAATTTTACTCAAGCAAAACGAAAGAATTAGATTAATTTTAAATCATTTCTTAATATTTCACATATGAATATGGCTTTTAAAAATGAAGAATATATATATTAAAATTAAGAAAAAATATTTTTAGAAATAAGACACAGTTCTACCAAGTTATATATTCCGTCATTATCTATAATAAAAATCATATATGGAATTAAAGCGGTGCAGTGGCGTCTCGAACATAACTGGATGCTGTGGAGCCCTTTCTTTTTGAGGTCACCCAAAGTATGTTTTAATATAATACAAAGAATATACTCGGTTTCGGGATAATTCGGATAATGCTATTCTGCGACTTGCATCTGGAACATATTAGAATTTCTTGCAATTGCCTTTGGCCTTGCTACTCAAAAATTTAATGTTTGGTGGCTTGTCATTGTTTCTATGGTAGAAACAATAAGTTGAAAAAGTTCTCAAAAAAGAAAACAATCTCGCTACTATTTGGAGATGCCTTATTTTATGCACACCTAGCAATTAGCAGTGCCTAATCAAAATAGCTGCATATGGAGCAAAGATAATCCTCAAGCAGTTAACGATTCACCATTACATCCATTGATATTGACTGGTGTGGTTTGCACGCTGGCGGCATCATCGCTCCTTATTTGTTTCAAAATAAGGAAGGAGCTCCCGTTACGGTGAATGGCGGTTCTAAGCGCTATCAAGCCATGCTGACTGAATTTTTGTTTTCGAAAATTAATCAGTTAAACATTGACGAGATTTGACATTTGGTTTTAACAAGACGGCTTAACTGGTCATACAGCGCATACAGGACATACATATAGGCGCTTAAGAATCGATTTATTATTTCCAGAAGTGGTCCTGTTAACTGATCCCCTGATTCGTGAGATTTAACGCCTCAAGATTACTTTTTATGGGGCTATGTTAACTCTTGAAGCATTGAAAGCCAATTTTCATGCCACCATTAACGCTACTGACACCATACGGTCACATTTATTGGAAAAAATGGTTAAAAATTGGATTGATCGAATGGACCACGTAACTTGTAGCCGTGGCGGAAAAATAATATGCCGAAAATGGTATGCCGAAAATAATATTCAAAAAATAAATGCCATGAAATTATCTAACAAATTATAATGAAGAAAATTTCTGTCTTTTAGTATCATTTTAAGTCCTCATGCAAAACAAAAAAATAAAACTTACGATAAAATAGATTTAAGAAAAAAGTTATTATGTCCAGAAAAATGTCAGACTGATAAAAGTTCAAAATATCAACTGAGCGAAGAATAAGAGTAATAATTAATAATAATAATTTAATAATTTATTAAAGATTAAATATAATTTAAATAAATATTAATATTATTTATTTATTATTAGTATTATTATTATTTTATTATTATTTTTATTTGTTTTAATTATAGTTTGACTTATAAAATACGCAACTGTCTGATGAGTCAAATGTAGAAATTTATAAAAAAATACAATATATGTATATATCAAATTTATTATATACAAATTATGTAAATGTAATAATTGATAGTCATTATTTTAGGACAGTCAAAAATATCCTTGAACGTTGTGTTGATAGTGGCGCCTTCCAAAGTTTACATACAAAATTACGTCACTTTCATTTAAACGTTCCATCGCAAACTCAAAGACAAATAATCATACAATTTCCCTTAGAATGCATATATAAAGAGAACACATATATGCAATACGATATAGTCTTAAACGAATACGTAAGAATCGGAACACTTCATTTGATTTTAATCAATAAAAGCAGCTCGTGTAGACGTTCTTTGCATTTTCCGTTAAATGTTGGCAACTAACGTGGAAAATATCCTTGACATTCTATGCCAGCCATAGTCAGCAGTGATAGTTTTCGAGTTGGTTGGATTTCTGTTTAAATACATAAGGAAGCAGAATAAATTTGCAAAGGATTTTCACTACCACCAGCACATTAACAGGCACGTATGGAAAGCACGTGCAGAGTGCCAAATGCATTTCGGTATCCTCAGTGCTGTGACTCAGCACGTTCAACTTTTATTTTTAAATTGGGTGATGTCGGGTGGGTACTCTGTGCCACCATTCAATCGGTTCTTACCACGAATTGCAGTTGAGTGTATGGTTTCAATGTCATACTTTACTCGTAATAAGGACAAGTAATTGTTTTTTTTTTACTGTTGCAAACTAGGACTTTTTTTTTGCTTAATATGTATTTTTAAATTAAGCTTTAAATAAATATTTTAATAAATTTTTAATTTTAATAATTTAATTTTAATAAAATTATTTTTCATTACTTAAATAATTAAAGAAGAATACTCTACGGAAGTTTTTCTGAGAATTTATTACTTTTTTCATTTTTAGTACTATTAGTTAGCACTTTTTTCTTATTTGGTTAATCACAAGTTGAAGTTTAGCATACCGGTCCTTCTGGCCAAGAATTGCGATATAATTGTTTCGTATTTATCCAATCGGTTTTTCTCTAGAGGTGCCTATAAAGATTTGAAAAAATTAATTCTGGAGACTAATAGGGTATTTTAGGTCCTCGTTTGGCCGCACTTACAGCGATTTTTTTTTTATCATAATTTACTATATAAGAAAATGGTAAATGCTAACTTCACTTCTTTACTTTGATGGAAATCAAATCCTTGTGCAAGCACAGCAAAAAAACTAGGCATTACTTTATGCAAACTAAGATGGAACGAGAACATAAAAGTAAATAACTGGATTATAGTTGGATATGAAAATACACACCTATAAAATGGCTGATTGACAAGACGTCGAACCTATTGGTATATAGGTAAACGTTGCAGTATCATATAAATATGTATTTGGTAATCAGCTATGAGGTTGTACTAGGTTGTACTAGGTTCTTTTTTTTTAAATTTTAAAGATATTAAGTGCTGTTACTCACCCTTTTGATTGTTGTTTATTTTATATCATGTTTCCACTGCAACAGTTCTGTGAAAGTTCTAAGAGAGCTATTAATTGTTTATAGGTATATCACTTGTTAGCACGTAATATTAAGTTTCGTTTTGTTAGCAGAAGTAATTTAATTGATCATGAAAAATACAAAAAATATTGTGTATATTATTTTTTTTATTTGCTTTTTGTTTATTTAAATATTGTTTCATGTGTCAAATATATTATTATCATATTATATTGATAATTTCCCTTTTACGAAACATATTTTGCAGTGTTGCATTCGACATTTTTAATCTAATTTCCTTTGATTTATTCTTAATTAAGTTAAAAAGCACGAAAGCTCTTTATATGTTAAACAAATTTAATTAGCGAACTTAAGCAAATAAACTGGTCTAACGAATGCACTGGAAACATACTATTAGGCTATTCTTATCTATTGGAATAATTCGAGCTAAATACTTTCAAAGATGATTATATTCTTATTCTTATAACAAATTTTTATTTGAACTATCCAAATTCAAGTTTAGTATTTTCTTTCTAATTTACGCACTGAATGCATGCGTGAACGAAGTGAAGGAGCTTAATTTAGAGTTGTTTTCAGTTAAATTACATATTTTTTAATTGTGTTGTAATAAAACAAAAAAATCTATATTATTTTGTAATAAACAAATATATTAATTATTTCGTCTTGAGACAGAAGTCTGTAGAAATACCAAATAGTCGTCCATCTGTTGACTTGAAAAGTATGGTGTTTCAACAAATATCTTTGCTTATATATTCAAATCATACTCTTAAGATGGAGCTCCGGTATTTTACTTAGAATTTAAGTTTGTTATTGTGTATTCTACAAACATTTAAGATGCAGACCGAGCTTTGTAATTTTCTTTAAGTAGTTTAATTCGGTTTGATTGTTCAGGATTACTTTGTTATCAAGGTTGACTTTATAACCTCAATTAATACGTTCACCTTTCAGCTTTACTTGAATTTTTTCTCTCTAGAACTCAAGCATTTGAGTTTTGTGTACATATTTAATGGAGAAACAAAATTGTTTTTTGTTTTTAATGAGGAGTAAGCTGCTTTGTTGAGAACTGAATGTTATAGGGACACTTCTTGGTTCTATAACTGCCAATTTTTTACCCATTTTTCAGGTTTCTATTCCTTATCTTTTATTTAAATGGATATTTTTCACAAGTCGAATATGTAATAAAATGTTTTGGAGAATCAAATTTGGATTCTTGTGCGAGTAAAGAACTACTTCGTTATTTACAAGGAGTGACAAAATAAGGTTAGAGGTATATATGAGATATAACAATAGCTACATGACTCTTTCTTGTAGGTAACCTCTTATAATTTCACAATCAAGTCAATAATATATTATATTAAATCTTCAACTTTAATCCCTTATGCAAAATTGCAGAAGATTATAGACATATAACATAAGCAATCGCTTGCATATTTTACATCCTGATTCCGATTATAGCATGGCGATGCTTTTTCTAAAATGCAGCACAGATAAGATTAGATTTCTTTTTAAGTGTTTGTTCTAATGTCTAGTTTTTTTTAGTGTTTAGCCTAGTCTTTACTAAATTGATATTCGTAAATATTTGTTACATCAATAATGGTTATAGTTTTCACTTCATAACATAAGGAGTTGAGTTATCTTATCCGACAAGTGCTTTTTTAGTAATTTCGTCATGCTCTGAACCCCTTTTCGTATTTAAATTAGTAACAAACGCTGTTTTATAACATGTATATTTTCTTCTTAATTTATTTCTTGAACTCTCTTTTATGTTACATATAATTTAATTAACCTTAACCTCATTTATATTTTGCGCTACTGGTTTCATTTCGTGTGATGAGCTCTGAGATTCATTCCACGTTTGTACACGAGTCTTACCAAAAATAATGAAAAGTGAGTTTCCAATAAAATAAAAACCTCCAGCTATGTAAAATATAGTACGCCACTGTTGAGGATTAGTCTGTAAGATAGTTAATATAGCGTTTAGTCTGTGCTAAATTAAATAAAATAATTCAAAATTATATATTCACCTCATCACTGACTACGAAGCCTACAACCAAAGGAGCTATAATACTCATTATATTAGCCGCGCAATTAGTAATACCCATTAAGATACCAGCATAGTTTGGACTCAAATCAATGTGATTTACTTGAAAGCCTAAAAATGAGGCAGCATTAACCCCGACTGTGATGGTAAGCACAGCTACGGCTAAATTAACCTGATCTGATGGTACGTAACCTAAAGCGATCAGTGTTAACGCAGGTATCCACTGGCCGATTGTGTTAAATATCTTTCTATTCGTTCCAATCTTCAGAATGCGGTACTTAGTAAATATATTGGAGACGTAACAGAATACAAAACAAAGCAGAAGTACTGCTAAATAAGGTAGAGTGGATAACAGTGCATTGCTTTTAATGTCTCTGTTTAATATAAATTTCATGTAGGTAGGAATTTGTGTTAGCAGCGTCCAAAATCCCCAATTATGTGCACAGTGTACTACAATTAAAACTAATACTGGAACAGATGTAAAGATTTTCCACCACGGCGTTCTTAAATTCTGGTTCACTGGAGTTTCAAATTGTTTTTCAGCTATTGAGTCCTCAATCAAGCGTTGCTCTTCTTTCGATATTGACTTACAATCACTGGGTCTATCCGCACCCAATATGAACCACACAGCAAGCCAAAGAAAACCTAGTGCACCAGATACATAAAATATACCTGGCCAGCCTAATGGAGATGCGGCAATAAAACCACTTATGGCAAATATTATAACCGAGCCAAAATGAGTTCCCGCATAACAAAATGTGCACAAAATGCCACGTTCTTGTTCAGGCGCCCATTTCGACAGAATTGTATGTGTGCTTGGAAATAGCGCTCCTTGACTCAGTCCTTGTATGGCACGCAACGCGAATAATAATTTCCAATCACCAAATTGTGTACAGAGAGGTGTCAGTACCGCTAGTACCGAGCTTATAAGTATGCTATAGAAGAAAACCATTTTACCACCAAATTTTACCGCCAACTGACCACCTGGTATTTGAGTAATAAAGTAACCCCAAAAGAAGCTGCTCAGCAAAAACGATTTTATTTGCTCTGTCCAATTGTAAACCTTATTTTTATGAGAAGTTATTAAAGGATATTTGCTAATAAATATTATTTAAAGTCAACTCACAGTAAAATCAATACCCTCACCATCTTCATCTGTCATGGCCACAATCGCAACCGAAAGATTTACGCGCATTGCATAGCCAACGGCCAAGCCATTAAAAAGTAATAAACACTGCAAGTGTCGCATGCCAAAATATGATCCTGAAGGAATAAAAACATTGTAAGGAATAAAATTTTTCATATATAGTAAAGCAGTTGGATTCAAAGCATTTTGTTAAACTAAAAGTGATTCAGAAATTAAAATGAGATTAAAGGATCGAAATAGTTAAAAAATTAGAACGACAACTGTTTGTGATTTCACGCAAATTAATTTTAAACTAATGAATGAAATTGAGTGTGTATATCTTGAAACACTATACTCTTATGGAACTAAGCTTATATATACATTAAATCATTCAATAAGTCTCCGGCTTGACATATATACATATGGCAACAGTGTTCACAAAACCAGAGATGGATTCTTCAAACGAAGGATGTTCTGTTTGAAACTAAGGCTTATAGGTCACAGGTCATTTTAATGACCGCAGTTTTTTAGTATCCAAAATAATGTATAAATAAAAATTCTGAATGTTAGTAGATGGGAAAAGGTACTGACATAGAACCAACAGGTGTTCTGGTGTCCTTTCTTCGAGAGTTAGTAGACTTTCGTAGTGGTAGGCTGAGTCTAGCTCTATGCCGTCCTATGGTCCAGTGCCCTGTAAAGATAGATATCAACCGAAATACCTCTGATTTACTTCTGTGTATCAAGTCAGAGGTTCTGAATTTAAAATAGATTGACCTTATATCCCTTGACCTGACGGCAGAGGTAGTATGGGTTCACTCACTATTAGCCTGTCTCAAAAAGTAATCATAAATCACCCTCCGACTGTAGCTGGCAGGAGCAGGAATTGAAAAAGGGGTATCCGTAGAAGAGTCTAATCCAATTTTAGCAAGCTCATCTGTGCGCTTGTTTCTTACTATATTAGAATGCCAGGGAACTTAAGCTAGGGTTACATTGAACCTATCACTTAGTACGTTGATAAATTCTTTACATTCTTATACTAATCATTATATTAAGTTATTTTGGAAATACCAGTAATTTAGGTATATATTTTTGAATATACAAATCTTTGACAATTCTTATCTCAGTAAATTGAAAATTGAAAATTGGTTCAATTCTTTGGATTATAGGGTTTCCAGAATAAATTTTTAGAATAACTAGACGCGATCAAGGACGTCACATTTCTGTTAAGTTCAACTAAATAACGAAGTAGTTGTATGTTCTGTAAAAGTACTAAGTGAATTCGAACAAAATATTTATAGACATTTTTCTTTTAAATCTATATATGAAACGATGTTATAGGATGAGTCGTAAATTGATAATATCTATTTAATTCAAAACGGTAATGCTGTTCTTCACTACTGGTTGAAGAAACATAGATTTATGTAAATGTCCCGAAACAAATCAAGATTTCTGAAGGTGATTGGTGAGATGAATCCAAATTTTAAAAAACATACAGACTTTTGACTTAATTCGTTTAACTACAAATTTTTACATATCTCAGGCTTATGTTATTAAAATTATAACTTCTGGATAATTGTAAGGCATGGATTAGATACATATGTATATTTAAAATGAAAGGTTTTTACTTCAATATTATTTTTATTAATTCATACACGTTCGAAATATTATTATAATAAATATTTTTAAACTTCTGTAAAATAATTTTTATTTTTTATATACACTAATTAAATATTTAATTTGTTAATTGGGTAAATGTTTTGTATCTAATCAGCTGCATTAGGAAAAATAAATTTTATTTTGATACCAACACTTGCCTTTTGTTTCATTTTGATATCGCCGATTTCTAATCATTTTATTCACATAAAAGTTCTTAATAAAACATCTCAAATCCCTTCCAATCACTTTACGTTAAAATTATTTCAACTTTTCTAGCAAAATTGTCTTTAAGATGTAAGAAGTTAGCGAAGTTAGCGAAGACTAAAGTTAATTCTCATTGCAACATCTGAATAAAAAATACTGAATTAAATGTTTTGGCGAAAATTCAGTAGCAAAAATTCTAGAAATTATGTTGGTTCTGTGCTCTCGAGTGTAAGTAAACGGAAGAGGCCTGAGGCAGTATGTTGATCTAAGATTGCTGCTGGTTGTTTGCACAGAGATATCAGTTGCTACTGTCTAGAATATTTAGGTAAACAAATATATTTGTTTTAGAAATATTTTTTTTCTCTTTGGTGTCAAAATAATTAAATAATAATTTTCACATATTTTTTTATTTGAGCAATAAAGTTTGTTATGCGAATTTCATTTCAATATGTTTTACTATTATTGCATTAATGGAGACATTGACAGCATTTTGTATTCGAATTTACTATTTAACAAATTTGGTGTTAACTAATTTTTTGATATTATTTATTTAAGTTGTTAGTAAAGTTTTTATGTCCAATTTTATGTCTAAAATCAATAGTTCGTATATAAAAGTAGTTAAAAGTGAAGAAATTCGACCACAAAAATTAATTTTTGAGCAGATTTTAAAGGTGTTC